AACCATAATGGTGGTCGAGTAGATCATGTTGTGCGGGGTGGAGAAGCCTCACTCAGAGCAAGGGATGGTCGCACCACGTTGTGTTAAAATGGTATAGCACCCTCGAGGCAGTCACACTGTTCTTACAACTGCCTCTGGAAGTGAAAGCACTATTATTCTAAATATATCAACTCATACGCAGCTGTCATCCGTACGCAAGGAAGTAAGCACAAGATGCCGAACACCCTTAGCAGGATGCAGCGCACCCTTCACGCTTCTCGCCGAACACCTCACGGCGCTTCGCGCTTGGTGATGTGAGAGCCTGGTCCGGTGAGAACCCGGCGTGCTCCGTCCCCGGCTTTGTAGGGATGCGAGGTCAATGGTCTAACGACTACGGAATGCACGACTAGTGGTACATCGGTTGACTCGACGAAGGAAATCAATGCTCGCGCCCCGAACGCCAACAATCAGTCACACCCGTGTTTCGTCGCCGTCGCTCGCAGTTTCTATGTACCTACCTCCTATCCTTACGGTCTTCTTGCCTTCTCAGCTTAGTAGCTATAGGGACCCATTGGATCCGGGGTCAGGCAGACGAGAATACCCTTCTCTGCCTCGGATACCTCCGCCATTGGCCGTGAGAAGCGTTCGGCGACCGGCCCCTTTCCCCTCAGGTGTACGCACGCACGCACGCACGCACTCACTCACGCGGTACTCACGCGGTCCCAACGCACTACAACCGCGTTCTACGTTGGCGCTACGATACCGTAGGCTGCATTAGATGTGACACACCCAAGAACGATTTTCAAAGCTTCATTACTCCACGACAGCGAGGATGCTCAAATCAAAGGAGACGTTGTCGGAGAAAGGTCTCGACGAGACGGTTCGAACGCCGCTATTTCTGGCATTGTCACTGCTTTTCCTGCCAAGTAATCGATGTTTGAAAATCGGGCAAGGGGGTGTGATATCTTGTGCAACCTACCGTAAAAGTATGCTAACCCTTCGCTCGCTGAGACAAGAAACCGAACCGCCAATATGTAGCCTGGGGAAATTTTTCGGGGTTAAGGATTGAAACACACACCGGGGCCCCTGGCTTCGTCTCCCGATCTCAGCATTTTCCACGTCCCCCCTGACTCACACTCCCCCCCCCCTAATTTTTTACCTCCACGGCTCCCCCCAGCCCGCAGCGACTTTGCGTGGCCCTTACCCGAGCGAGGCATCACCTGCTGGTGGTCGGAGAGAAGAGCGTGCTCGTGACGAACCCGCTCTGGAGGGAGGTCGTCGATGCCAGCAACGTCGTTGTCACCCTCGCACAGATGTTCTCTTCCAGCAGCACCAGCGGTGGTGGGGGAGGGGCGAGAGAGAAGGGGGAGCCCGTCGCCAGGTCGGCGGATGGAGCGGGGGGGGAGAAGAGCGGGTGTTGGAAATGATGGAGACGGCAACAGAAGCTCTCGTTATGCTGCTGCTCCTTCTCGCACGTTCGAGGTAGTATGGATGGCAGTTGTTTTCACCATCTAGCCTGCCGGCGTGATGAAGGGGAGGGCTGGTGCCATCCCACAGAGTCGGGGTGGTAGCTGATGCCATCCAACAGAGTTGGGTTGGCAGCGATTTTCCTCGGAAACGCGCTGCGTACTCTGAGTTGCGGGGTCCACATGAACATATACACGAAGTTATCCTTGTCGTAGTCCATACGGCACGGAAGTAGTTTTGAAGTTTGAGTTTTTTGCTTCATTTGGTCCGGATGTAGTCAGTCCACCCGCAGCAAGCACCCATCCAGCCAGTCGGTCTGCGTTGTTCGTGTTCTTGGAAGAAACTATTTCCTCCAACGCGGTCTTGAGGCCGGTCGGTCACAACGCTGGCGTGTACAGAACGACCACGTTCCATCATCACAGCATGCTGATAGAATAACATGCTTCGTGGTGCAGATACATAGGTTTGGAAGATGAAAAGTCTACCTACGTAGATGAGACCACTCTCATCAAGAGAGAGGATGAGGACATTGGGGGCGAGGGCGACGGCGTTTCCTCCGATATGGTCGTCGGGATCTGGCGGGGCTAGGCCTCGCGGGTTTGTTTCATAGCGGTACACTGGAAGCGACCGAGGGTGGGGTGCTGCAAAGGTAGTGGAATGCGCACGCACGCCGATTTTGGTGCATGCTGGTATGTAAAACGGTAGAATGCTAGATCCAGCCTGCGTGAACGATAGTCACGGATGCGATGGTCACGCCCCGCGATCAACTACGTTGTTCGCTGGGTGAACAATCAATCAGCCGGCGCAAACGACGTACGAGCGACGGGTGGACGTTGATCGACATGACTTTTCGAGGCGTTGATATCCGTGTTGTGCTGGAGACGATTGATTCGCTAGGCAGTGTACTATAAATGTTGCTGCTGCGGCGACTGTGGGATGTGGATGTGTCTCGCGAAAGATCGCAGGGGAAAAGAAGCATTGCTTGGACGACTCTGTCGCCTGCTTTGGTTGAAGCAAATCCTGGAATCCCAGAGATACGAACGGGTTTGTTTTCTTGTGGTCGCGGGCGACGACAGAGTATTTATTGCCGTGCATACAAACCCTCGAATAAAACTGAGGGCAGGCACTGCAGGAGGTGAGGTGAAAAATTCGATTTTTCCTCCTATGTGACCCCGAATGTTGCGTTAAACGTAAAGGACACCGAACAAGGTGTGTACTAGCCGCCAGAAATATACTTGATATTTGTGTGTGTTTTCGTCCTACAGTGCCGGAACTTGTCACGCCGATTCGGGGCAAAACCAAAAACAGAAAACACCTCCCCCCCAAAAATGAGCGACAAACAAAGGCGTTGGAAAGCTCTCGCCAGCGGCGTTCGAAAAAACCTTTCAAAATGGGTCGCAACGCTCTGGATCAAGAGTTATGGGCCTATTGCCATCCATCACCACGGAAGGTACTTCGCCCCACCAAATCCTCCATATCTCGACAACTACGGGGTTGCGACCGAAAAAGTTGCAGATAATTGAAGCTCTCTCTCTCTGTTCTATTTTATGGCGTTGGTTCCATTTCCGAACCTTTTGGTAGAAGCCGCGAAAAAGAACCTAAACCGTTTTTTTAAAAAAAGATTTGTCCACAGCAGCCCCAACGGCTGACGAAAGCTAGCGGTGGACGCCCTGCACGCCCCATGACGTTCACGCTTCGCCTTGAGGCGCTGACGGACATAAGGGACGCACTGACTAGGCGTGGTAGTACGCTGACCGCTGTAACTCAAGTGAAGAGCGCGATAAAGTATCGTCTCCAGCTGACAGCAGACCTGTCGGATGGAACCAGCCGCAGCTGGCGCAGCGCTACATCAAGTACCCAAAGGGACAAACCAAGGCACGTGACTGGTCGGCCGAGGCAACGTGGGCTGCTGCCTGGCGCTCATCTTCTTGTAGCGGCAGCGTCTTTCTCTCCACAGAAGATGCGAGGCGCGGGAGCAACGACACCCTCCCTCTTCCTCTTCGGGAGGAAGGCCGCGAGACTGTCAGCCCGCGACCGAGTTACTCACACCACCTCCAAAGCGCCCAGCATATGAAGGGGCTGGCCGACCGAAGGGGAGCTTCGGCCGGAAGAGGTTGCATGCATGCCTTCGCGGAAACGCTCTCCGAGCTCCACCCGGATCTACGAGCGAGGGTCACCAGCAAGAAAAATTACGCTGATGGCAGAAGAGCCAGGGCCAACGACGGGGAGCGCAATGCGAGGTGGCCGCCGATGGTTCACGGGCTGAAAAAGAAGGGAGAAGGACAGGGCATCATGATTTCCGGCACCATCGCGGGCGACTTAGGGTTCGTGGAGGGCACTCAAGAGGACATCGACAAGGCCGAAGATCTGCGGCGTGAGCGCTGCGGCGTTTCGAGGGAAAACCACGCAGCAGGTGATCGGGCCAGGCCTAGGATGAACGCAGGGTAGGAGGGGGTGAGGAGGAGGCAGGAGATAGCTCCTCAGAATGCTACCACCATACTGGAAAACACACCCAAACTCAAGAAAGGAGCGGTGCAGCGCCTCACATTTCAGCAGGGAGAGTACCCATTCTACAAACCGGGCGCCACCGATCACGTAGGCAAAGTCAAGGGGATGAAGCAAATCCTGTTTGAGAGGGGGATTTGGATCGCGGGAATGAGCATGACGGGGGGCAAGAAGGGCCAGAAGCCTAGCGAAAAGATGAGCATGCCGGCGGTGTTGCGCGCGCAAAAGGATTTCAAGAACGTCGAATCTAGCCTAGAGGTTTTGCTGAAGTGCCACGGAGGGGTTGCGCTCATGCTTCCCAAGTTCCACTGCGAGTTGAACCCGATCGAGCTTGTGTGGGGTAGATCCAAGTGGTGACTCTGCATCCACTGGAAGTACACTATCGCGTGCTTGCGAGAGAATGTTCCCAAGAGCTTCGCGGTAGTCGAAAACTTGAGCCTAGCAACAGTGCAAGAGTGCTGCAGGAAGGTAGCCCATTTCCACACGGTGTACGACGCAGGGATGAAGGGCGCCGAGGCAGTCAAGGAGCAAAACAAGTTCAAGTCGCACCGAAAGCCGGCTCCATCCGAGTACAATAGCCCAACGTGTGCTAAGAGTCGGTATGTATGGTGTTCCGAAGGATGCCGCCGCTGCCTTTTTCGATGTCTGTTTATCCGGGGATTTTGTTGTGCTTTTTTTTATTTTTCTTAATATGACACAACGAGTCCACCTCTATCATTGAAAAGAGTCTTAAGACAGATTAACAGATTAATAATGGAATCATAGCGTCAGAGAAAACTACCTGTATGTCTACGATTTCCCAGACAGCATATAGGGACATCTCCCGTGCGGGTAACAGGCTCAACAAATCAGTGCTTTTTTGCTTCTTTTTTTTTTGCTTCCCTGACTGGCTGCATTTTACCACCCGGTCGATCGTAGCGTCAGGGTTTTTTTTTTGGGCACTGTTCGTAGTATGTGCGCAAGTGTGAAACAGAGGGTGTGGGGTGGGGTGTTGTGTTGTGTAAATACAGGTACTTCTCGATGATTGAAGCTAAAATGACGAATGATCAAGCGTCAAACGATGTGTTTTGCGACCAGAAAATGACACACAATCTGTTATGCCCCTATTCCAATGTCATACATACTGTTCAAGTGTTTTTTTTTTTCGAGAGCGCCATCGTGTTCGCCTGGTCAAACCCCGCCGCTATCAACTCAGAAAAAAAAAAGGGACATGATACGATATTTTTGTCGTCGAGATATTGGCCAAAACGTTTCATCCCCTCCCCCCCCAAAAAAACGCCTGGAAAACCATGAATTTTCAGGAACGTCTCAAATCGATTTGGTCCCTGAACAGCTCTTGTAGGGTTTGCGATGGAGATCAATGCTAAAAAAAATAGTGAAAACAAGGTAATATTGATGAAGTCATGGCCGGTCAACTGAAATCGGCGTGACAAGTTCGGGCACTGTCGAAGTATTTATTATGGCCACAGTCCCCCCATGTGTTCGTGGTGAGACCCGATCGGTCAAGGGGAGGGGTATGTGAATAAAAATGACCCGGACAGAAAAAGGCTTTTGGTCGACAGAGACCCAAGCTCTACCGAGCTTGGTAATAAAATAGTAATAAGGCGGAGGGCTCGTGAGGACGATGGAGAGCCTTACTTTCGATACATACATACAGTTTGACATTTCATCCGCTGCAACCAACGTGGCGTAACACGGGCCTTAATTCCAACACCCGCAAACGGAAACACGACAACGTTGGAATCTACATGCATATCTTTGCAGCATGTGTGGATGGATGATGTTCGTGTGGCAACTAATTCTTGCGGTGGTGCGGAAAAAGACACAAACCACGGAGACCACATGCATGCATGCACTTGATACGCAGCGAATACGGTTGTCTGCGCCGCGGGCTACACACGTATGATCGTTGAGTCGAGGATACTTGTACCTTCACATATGGAATTCATCATGCGCGTCATGACGCATTGCTTCCACCCGGCGACAGACATTTGCTTATGCATACATGGCCGAAATGCGTGTGTCTAGTCTTGCGTGTTCGAAAGTAAGTGCACACCGAGACTGACAACAACCACGCACGAGCGAGGGAAAAGCGTGTGCAACACGCCCCACAGCGTTTGTTTGCCGTTGCTCCACCCGACCTTGACCGCATGAAACAAGAGCAGACCACGGGGCGTATATCGTACATGACACAAGATAACACACCCCCTGGACCAATTTTCAAAGCTCGATTACTCCACGACGGAGAGGATGCATAAACGAAACGATACATTTTTGGGGAGCTCTCGACGAGACGGTTCCAACGCCGCCGTTTTCGGCGCCGTGACTCTTCCTGTTGTTGAGAAATCGAGATTTGAACATCGGTCCAAGGGGTGCGTACTCTGTTCGTGGGTCTGCGAACATTGGTGTTGGATACATGTGCTGGATGATTTGGCGTCACGCAGAATGGTAAGATTGCCGTTTGGTAGGGGGCACCGCAATGATTTACGGAGCCACTCCTTGAGCACTCCCTGTTTCGTCCGTGTGAAGGACGGTCGTCGACCTCTCGTGGAGTTAATACATCACCAATTCAGTCCCACCCGATAAATAAGTGGCGTAGGCCGCAAACACTCTCGAGTTGTTTTTGCCCCTCGAGGGAAGCCATATTGGGATGAGCTCTGCTGGAGACGAAGACCGCACTGCTGCGAGCGGAGAACAGATCCGCCCGCCGGTGCAGGAAGGCCGCGATGC